GAAAAGGCCATCCGCATCTCTTCTTTCTGCCACTGTCTCTCGGAGAACGTCAGCCCAGTGTGGAGGCCAGACTCCCTGTCCACCCAGGTCCTCCGCTCTGGCTCTCTGTACCCAGCAACAGCTCTAGAAACACCCCTGTTAGGAACCCCAGGGCTGGGACCTGGAGAAGTCCCAGTCGGGCAGAAGCAGGGAGCACTGCAGTGGACCTGAGTGCCGGGGAGACCGGGCTGCCAGGCCTGGCTGTAGGTATGTTCAGCCTTCCTGGGTGGTGTCTGGCCCAGTTGGCCAGCCACTGCTTTGTTCTTGCTGGCCTTGGCGCCCAGCCCCACAGCTGGCAGACACTGTGACCTTTCCCCGACTTCCAGCTCTGGCTTCCAGATGATTCCAGGCCTCTGAAGTTTACAGGAGTCACATGTCGCTGGCACAGAGACCTCCTGCCCCATTCCCTCTCCTTGCTCTGGGCAGCAGGGGCTGGGGGGCTCCACTCTAAGCAAGACCCAGCTGCAGGATCAGAGTGTGAGCTGGAGACAGGCAGGGTTGGCCCAGGCCAGAGCCAGGCCCTCAACAGGAAGACCACCCTCAATAGGACCTCAGAAGTCCACAGCCCCAGTCCCTACCCTGGCACTCTGGGCTCTCCACCACTAAGCACCCTTGGCGTGAGAAAAGAACCACAAACAGCATTAGTCAGAGGGTCAGGGGCTGCCCCTGTACAGGGCCAGGTCGTCTTTGGACTCCAGCCTGAGACTCTAGCTCTGCTGTCCTCCTCGGTTCCCATGACTACCGTCCCCAACCCTGCCTCCATCGCCCTGCAGGCCCTGGTGGTGACAGGAAGCAGAAGGAAGAACAGTCATGGGTGGAAACCACTCCATCCAAATGGAAGTCTGCAGAGACTCCCCTGCTGCACAAGGGCAGTGTGCGATGGCATGATGGGACAGGGGTGCGGCGATGGCATGTGTGGCATGATGGGACAGGGGCGTGGCACTGGGTGAGACCCCCAGAGCTCAGGGGAATTAAGTGCCTTGCTAGGAGGGTGGGAGTCACCCGGAGCCTAGGGGTTGGGCTGCCTGGATGGTGCCTTCCAGCTGGGTGGCAGGCCAGTCGCTGTCCCACTCCTGAGCTCTGCCTTCTGAGGTTTGAAAGCCAGTGCTAGGTCAGAAGATGTCTGCGCCCACCGAGCGCTCAGCCGGCCCCCCAGCCTGCTGGTAGAGCTTCGTGCACCAGCCTCCAGCTTTGACTAAGAATGACGCTGTTTCTTTCCCTCCCCCAAAATCCCATCCAAAGCTTTTAGGTGAGGCATTGCCCCTAGGTTCCACGGCCTTTGGCTGGCGTGGGCTCACCTTGTCCAGCTCCTGCATGAGCTCTCCTTCCCTCTGCATCCTGGTTGGGGGACACAGCAGCCTAGAGTGGGGTGTTGGAGCACAGCAGAGGAGAGAGGACATCCAGGAGGCCTCCCACCCAGGAGCTTGGGCGGCCAGCCAAAAGGAGTGGAGAGGGGGACCATGCAGGGGACAGGGGACAGACTGGTACTGGTGTCAGAGCCTGAGAAGTGAGGCAGGACAAGCTGGCACGGTGTCAGATCCAACGGGGTGAAGGGTGTATGTCCTGGGGGAGCACCACGTGGCGTGGAAGCTGAGTGTGGGGGAGGGGTGCCGAGCTTGTGGAAGGGAGCCCAGCTGGGTGGCGGGAGCCCGGCACCAGCTGCCAGAGTCTGAACACGTGAAGCAGTTTTGGGGGGAGCAGCGCTCTGAGCAGCAGCTGAGATGGGGTGCCGTGTGGGGGCAGACATGGCATGGCCCACGGGGGCTCAGGGTGGGGTACCGCATGTTGAGGACACTTCTAGCAATACTGTTGGATTCCCGGGCTCCCTTGGCTGATTCCAGGTCAGGCCCGGGACAGTACTCAGGGGTCAGGAGCATGTTTTGAAGCCAGGAAGCAAGGACAGGCTCAAAGAGCAATGGGAGCCTGTCAGGGGACTAAGATCAGGCTTGAAGGGGCTCTAACCGTGCGCTGGGGTGAGGCTGAGCGCAGAGCTGTCACCTAGCATACATGAGGCCCTGGTCCAACCCCCAGCATCACAACAAAGTAAAGGAACAGACAAAACAAAATGGTCTGTAACAAGGGAAGCTGATTCCTACCTCCTCAGGAGCTGACGCCCTCAGGGCCTGGTGAAGGGCCCCTCTTGAATTGTGGACTGCAGCTTCTTGCTGTGTACTGACATGATGGAAAGGCCAGCTCTCTGGCCTCCTCTTGCAGTTCCTTGATCCCACTCATGAGAGCTCCACCTTCATGACCCAATCACCCCCAAAAGCCTCGCCTCCTAATAGCATCCCCTGAGGGTTAAGATTTCAGCATATGAATTTTGTGGGGACACAAGCATTCAAATAATAGGCTAAGGCTAGGACAATTGGAGCCTCAAAACAAATAAATGATTGTCACGTATCACTTACTGAACAAAACAGACTACCACAGCTCCATATTGACACACATTAGTACATGAACAAATAGAAATTTTGATGAGGAATTTTCGTAATTTCAAAGTACTCCCTTCTAAACACTTATAAATCACAAAGTAAAAAAGAGCAACTGCAGGGCTGGGCTGTGGCTCGGTGGTGGAGCGCTTGCCTAGCCTGTGTGAAGCACTGGGTTCAATTCTCAGCACCACATAAAAAATAAATAAATAAAGATATTGTGTCCATCTACAGCTAAAAATATTAAGAAAAAAAATCAACTTCACAGTGGGGACACCTGGCAGATAGCACCTTACAGCTGACCAGAATGAATGTTGCTAGTAAAGAGGAAAATCAGCAAGAGACCCAGCTGGTGAGGTTACCCGCCAGGCCCACTCCTCCTGCTGCACAACGTGCCAATCACCGAAGCAAGCAACCGTTTTGTAAGAAGGAGGCCAACCAGAGAGCAGAGACCCAAGTCCCAATCTACTTCCCCCAGGATGGGGTTTGGGGATTCGTATAAGATAAAGAAGTGGGTGGTCTGACGGGGGGGTGGGGGGGGGAGAAGGTGCTCTGCAGGCGAAGTCACCAGTGGTCTCTGTGTGTGATCCAACTCCTTATGGGACCTGTGCTCAGGAAGTGTCAGGTTAGCATGATCTCGAGGTGGAGATTTGGGCCTCCTGGCATCAAAACATCACCCATCAAACACCCGCACAAGCCCAAGTGAAGAGAGTTGGTGGGTTTGACAAAAGTGGACATCAGGTCCCTGGAAAACAACCCAGGCAACCATTCCCACCATAGCACATCCAGGTGTGTCTCCCCGCAGCGGTAGGGGGAGACGCCCAGTTCACAGCCCAGGTGTGTGGCCTCCAGAATTAGCCCTTTTTAAAGCCAGCTAAGTAAAAGCAAGCAAGGGCGCACAGGGACTCAGGGTCGGAGAAGTAGGAAGTACTCGGGGTTGTCCCGTGCCCGGGAGACCAGGCCAGCTGTGTTGGTTGGTTGGCAGCCTGCCTCCCTGCTTCACAGAATTATCAGATGCTGTCCTCCCACGTCTGGAGACCGAGGTCTTATTCTATGGACCGTTATGTTCTTGAGAGTATCTCCCAGGTCCTTGAGCAACACCTCTGAGCTGCAAAAGGCACAACATGACACGGGTGTGATCCAACTGAAGGTGGCCCTATGACTGGGGTGCTCGATCTCGGACAGCCTCGCAGCGCCCCGGCCATCGGTGCTGTGAGAGGCTTGCACTGTGCAGGACAGAGGCTCCTGTGGCCACCAAGGCCTGTGTGTTTGAGGAGCAGCAGTGGCAGGTGCATGAGTGACCGTGCACACGTGTATCTGTGCATAGGGTCGCAGGTATGTGCGCACATGTGCATGGTGCGTGCAAAAGCTAGAGCTGGGTGAGCCTGACTGGTGTGCCAGAGGCTTGGCGCTAACTTTGCTGACTGTGCTAGAGAGTCTCCCTGAAAGAATGGACCCTTCTCTGCTATGCCTACATCTTGGGGCATTTTTAGCTGTTCTTATCACAAGGGAATTTGCCGTCCGGTGGGTGGAGCAGCCTGGAGCTAGAGGCAGGCATTCCAAGGGAAAAGAGGAAGGAGCTGGGCCGGCCTCCCTGGCCTTCACCCTGCTCCGTGCATTGCACTGGGTGCTGGGGTGCAGCTGATTCATCCCTCCACTTATGTGGGTCAAGGTTCTTGGTTGCAAGCAACAGAAACCTCTAGCTAACCTAGGCAGAAAGCAGCTCTAAAAATTTTTAGGAACCCTGAGAAACGGGCAGAAGTACAGCCAAGGTCACACGTCAGGAACAGGGGACAGGAACTGCCCAGGACCTGCCCATACCTGCTGGTGGATGTGGGACTCCCCCTCCCTGTGGCCCCTCCTGGGGAATCACTCAGGGCAGAAGCAAACGCCCATCTGCCTGGCCTCTGTCACACAGTCCTCAAAGAGAGGAGTCCCCCACACACACCAGGCCTGGGTCATGGAAAACAGCCTGCCTCCCTCCTTCACAGTAAGAGCTTCCTGGAGCCAGGAAGGGGAGGGCGGAGGTGGCCATAAAGGACACAAGTCCCTGCGCTGCCCCAGGACTCTCTGAGAGGTGGTGGAGTTGGGCAATAGAAATGTCTGGAGTGGAAGGAGCCAGAAGGGAGGAGTCCAGGTGCAGAGGGTGACTCCGGGTGGGAGGGACAGGCTGTGCTGGGACCAGGACCCCTGGAGAGCTAGAGAGAGAGGTTGTGACAGAGCCACTCCTCCTCCCCCTCCGGGGCCTCCTCCACAGGAGCAGGGCGCCTGGCCACCGCTCGGCACAGGTCCACTTCCTGAAACACCTGCAGGATCGCCCGGAGGAAGCCAGGGTGCAGCCTGCCATCAATCTGCGCTCCTCCCTGGGAGCCAGACGTGTCTGGAACGGGTTGTAGGGAAGGCGGGTGGCTGAGGGCTTGGAGCAGGGCAGTTCCAGGCCAGCTCTGGGCCAGCTCTGGCTATGACTAGAAAATGGGTAAGAGACAGCAAAGGGGGACAGAAATCTAGAGGGTGGGACAGGGAGAGGGGCTCTCCAAGAGCCAGTGAGGTAAGGAATTGGTCCAATTGGTGCTGATGGGCGGGGGGCAGCTTTACAAAGTAAACCTTCTGGTGACAGGGAAGGCAGCGCGACTTCAGGCCACCCCAGACTGGACCTTCGACCTGTCCTGGCACCACCCCCTCCCATCACAGGGCATGGCTTTCACCAGGGCAGCAGGCTCAGAGCCACAGTGCTTCCTGGAAGGAGCCTCTGATTTCCAGGAAGACCAAACTGCAAACACACAGCCTCTCTGTGCTGGCCTCAGCGTCAGGGCCTTCGCTCTGGAGATAAGGCTGTGTCCACAGCTGTCCTGTGAGCAGGCTCACCTGGTCTCCCCAGCAGCCGGCGGGACTCAGGGCCAAAGCTCAGAGCGGAAGAGCGAGGGGATCTGAGGGCACAACACCCCTCAGATTTGGTGCCCTCCCCTCAGGGCTGTGTCTGAGACAGGGATTCCGGGCTAGTGGCCCAAGAACAGCAGGGCCAGGAGGCTCTGCCGAGTACTTGGGCACCATCTGCAGCCTATGTGAACCGTGTGGGGGGTGTGTGTGTGTGTATGTGTGTGCGTGCTCACACTCATGCCATGCACAGGCACAGGTGTGTGTACGGGTGCTACTTCATTCTTGACTCGTGTTCACGAAAGCGTCCCAGGCCTGAAGCGAAGGGGCAGCATGCAGCAGGCAGGGTGGGGCTGCCCCATGAGCCCCGCAGCCTACAAGGGTGCCCAGGGAGAGGCAGGAGCACCAGTGCTCAAGCCCAGCCTAAGGGCAGGAAGGCTTCTGGGAGAATAAGCCGAGGTTGAGGGTAAGAGCTGGGAGCTGTCCTGTTCCAGAAACCAGGGCTGAGCAGGGACCTGACGGGCTTCTGAGCAGAGGGCTTCTGGGGGTGGCCTGCAGTGGAGCATCAGCTGCTGTGGGCTGGCGGGGCGAAGCCCCCACTGAACGTTCTGCCAGGGCCCTGGTTTCTGCCATAGAGGGTGACACTTACCAGACTCAACAACGGAAGCGGGTGGTTTTCAGGATCACGTCGTGGCTGTGACCTTAGAGAAAGACGCGCTGAGGGAAGCCTCAGCCCCCCTCCAGCTTTCTCCCTGGAGGCGGTCTCCAGTCTCTGAACCACAGCACAGGGAGTAGAGGCCAGAGAGCAGCGTCTCGAGGTGCAGGGAAAACAGACTGAAGTCCAGGGGCACGGGTAGCTGCGATGTGTGCCGGGAGAGACTGCAGCCTGGCAGGGAAGAGCTCTGGGGAGCTGCGAGCTGATCGCAGGCTCCCGTGGCCACCCAGGCGTGGAGTCTGGCCAGCAGCGAACACGCCGGCCTCAGCTGGGCCCTCAGGAAAGCCACCCTCACGGGGGAGGCAGCTCGTGGTAGAGTGCTTGCCTAGCATGTCAAGGCCCTGGGGCCCATCCCCAGAACAGAGAGGACAGGAGAAGAATTCCTATCACCAACCCCCAGATCCCCAGTGCCCTTCAGCTGTGGGTTCGTCTGTAACCACCAATCTGACCTCAGTCCTTGGGACGGGCCCACCCTAGGTGCAGAACTCCACAGCCTCGGAGTAAGGGCCGCCCTGGAGCGTGTCCAAAACAAGACCCAACAGGACAAGACTGATGTGGCAATAGCTTAGCTGCATGCCCAAGCAAAACTCAGTGGACTTTAAAGGAAGACAGCAAAATCCAGACTCCCAGCAATGTTCTGTTGTACGGTCCAACATCCAGAGAAAAATTATTAGACGTGATAAAGCTGAATCACTTGAATCGTAACCAGGAGAAAAATTAGCCAATAAGGAGCCCCGATGAATTTCCGGGGCAAAGAGAGAGTGCCTTCTGTCATTGGGTATCTCCCCATCGATGTGCCTAGTTGCCATGAAGAAACGCAGAGCCACCATTTGGAAGGGGTCACCGGAAGCCCGGAAGAAAGCCCAGGTGGAGGCAGCCTCGGCCCATGGAGCGCTGTGGGCTTCACAGTGTGGACAGGCCTGGGGCCAGGTGCTACACAGCCACTGCCCTGAGAGGGCCATTCTGCATGAAGACGGACACGAACAAGCTCAGATGGCAGAGGCCAGGAGAGGGGCCCAGCAGGTGTGAGAAGTGCGAGTCCTTCTGCCGGGGATCGTGGAAGCCTTCACGGAGGAGAGTCCTGTTGTGCTGGGCTTCAAAGATTGGTGGGAGGAGGATACTTTTCACCCGTAAAGCCATAGAATACCCACATGTGATATGTTGGTAAGTTTCTTCTCTGTGAATTCTCTTTTTCTGTTTTCCTAGATGGAATTCAAAACATGTCCCCTCAACTCTGCATTTTTTGGCTAATGTTATTTCAAAAAGCATTTTCTGAGATCCTTTGTAACGTGGATCTCTGGTGGCTGTGAAGTATTGCAGTAAGTCTCTGTGACATGGTCTAGCCGACAGGTTCTCTGTGGCTGGGGACTCAGGTCATTCCATCTGCTGGAAGCACCTTGTCCTCCCCCTTTCCAGTCAGCGTCTTACCTTAGCGTCCCAGGAGCGGGGTGTTGGCTCCAAAGACACAAACGTGTTCCTGATGCAAGTGGCCAAATGGCTGTTGTAGAAGGTTCAAACTCCCTGAACACTCACTCTGGGGTTGTAATGAGTGTTTACGTGCCTTCTCCCCCACAAACCAGGCCCCGTCCGCCCTCCCCTTCCAGAGCCAGCAGGGCAGGAGCCAAGGACACCCCTTGCATCATTTGTGACCGCACTTTTGCAAAGGAGAAGGATTATCTAGGGTCAGGGACAAAGCCCTAAGACACTCCAGAAACCAAGACTTGGCCACGTGTGGGTGGGCATGGGGTCTCTGGGCTCTCTCTAGGGCACTGCCATGGAGATGGGGTGGCTCTCAGAATCCTGTAAGTTTGACTTCCTCGTTTGGAGATAGAGAAATGGACCCAGGTGAGACGAGCGGCCTTCACAGAGCACAGTGCACCCAGGTCAGCCAAGGCCTGATGGTTGGTCAGGGCCCCAGGGTGTGGATGACTGAGCCAGGCTATTTCTGCCTCAGGCTTCTAGAGGGCCCCACACTGCCAGAAACCTCCATCCCAGGCTGATGTCTGGGCCAAGTCGGCCTCACTGGAGTCCCTCACCCCAATATGGGGGCAGACAAGAGCTGGGACCAGACGAACAAGAGGAGGACAGGCCAGGGAGTGACGCTGGCCAGCAGGCCTCGCTCTCCCTATCTTCAGCGAGAGTTTCCTCTTCTCAGGTATCAGGAGCCCCTTCCCTCCAGCTGATAGTCACGCCCTTCAGAGACCCAGCGTCCCTGACCACACCAGCCTTGGCCAGGGGCGCCTAGAACAGGAAGCCCTTCCTCGGCCTCGAAGACCACCAGCAGCCGCCCAGAGCTGTGGGACCTTGAGCAAGTGTCTTGTTTGTTTGTTTCTTTTCGTTTTCTGGCTGATTAAACCAAACAAGGAGTTTATCAACAAGCTCTTGGGGGTCACAAAATTGTAGCAAGCCTGGGAAACGGGGCTCATGCCATGCTTCCAAAAGCAATGCCCGTGCCAGTACTGCACAAGTGCCCGCTCTCCCCCCGCATGCCACCTCTGGGTCAGGAAGCTGATCGTCCAGCTACCATCAACTGCACAGAAGACAGGGGTGTTCCTGGGCAGCCAGAACATGACAAATGTCCACCCGAGCCTCTTGCCCAGACTGTTCACCAAAAAGACACCCAGCCTCTTGCCAGTCCTGTGAACTCCTGGCAGAGATGCCCAGACTGTAAAACCTCCCTGAGACCCTGACACACCACATCGACCGAGGGGTGAGGTGCCCCCATACCCAGGATCAAGTGTCATCTCCCGCTGGCAGGAGGCGTGAGGAGGACGGGTCTCTTGAGCAATTGTCCTAAGCGTCCCCTGTCTTCCTCCTCCGTACACCGGGCTGGCAATGCCCTTCCACATGGCCCCGCCCACAGGTACGTTTCCACACACATGGACTGGAGCTGAGTCTGCCTTCCTCATCTCCTGTGAGTGACTGCTGTATCCGTGGCCCCCAGGGGACCTCTCACCACTCACAGTCTGTCTCCCCTCCCAACTAAATCTGGACAGGTCTTGGGACTTGCTTGACCAGGGGAACATGGCAGAAATGCGGCTGCACCAGTGTCTTCAGAGGCCTGGAAGCTTCACGCTCTCTTGGAACCCAGAGGCCATCTGTGAGGAAGCCAGACCATCCTCTGGGAGGGAAGGCCGTGTGCACAGCTGCGAGAGTGGTCCTGAGCAGTCATGCAGCAGCCCACCCTAGGGAGCCCACAGAACCAGGAGAAATGGTAAGTCATGAGTGTCGAGGCGGCTTATTCCTCAGTAATAGGTAACTAAACCCTGCTCCAACATCCCAGCCTTTTTCGCTAGGTCTCCTCCAGCGCTGGTGTTTCCCAAGCAGCTCTTTGCCAGGGGCGGGGTTGAGGGAGCAGCCAGTTGTAGCATCTGCCCATTTCTTGGTGTAAACATTCCTGTCATGGATGACTTCAAGCCAGCCACAAGACAGGCAGAAACATGGAAATGAGAAGGAATATGGCCATCCTCATGGGGAGATGGGGAGCAGGTCCGGTACCCTGCCGGGCTCTCCCTCCAGCACAGCCAGGCCTACACAGAACGAGGTCAGCGGCTCACGGACGGTGTGTAAGCTCCAGCAGGTAATGTGGCAGTCACAAGCATGGTTTTTGACCGTCACAGAGCTGTTCTGGGTGGAAAGAACTGAATCTGGCTCCAAGCCCCAGATCTCCGGAGCCTCTTCTCTCTTTTCTTCCTATAAAGTGGTGGAGACGGGCTCCTCGGCTGCAGAACGGACGCAGTCTGCCTCGCACCCATGAGAAGGCGGGAGGTGGTGGCCAGGCTCCAGGTGCAGGGCAGCCAGGGCATTGTACTTAAGGCCAGAGCAAGAGACGAGGGGGTTCCAGGAGCCCCTCCATCAGCTCAGCCCTGGGCTTCCTGAGGGAATATTGACCAGAGTCCTGTATGGAACAGGATGCCTACGTCCTGGGCCCGGAGGGAACAGTGCCCACACCATCTGTGTGAAATGGCTAGGGATGTGGCTCAGGGGTTAAGTGCCCTGGGTTCAATCTCTGGTACCAAAAAAACAAAAAAAACAAAACAAAACAAAAACAAACAAACAAAGTTTTTATTTTGAGACAGGGTTTCACTAAGTTGCTGAGAGCCTCATTAAGTTGCTGAGGCTGGCCTCAAACTTATGATCCTCCTGCCTCAGCCTCCCGAGTCACTGGGATTACAGGCATGTTCCACAATGCCCAGCCGTAGAGCATATCTTACTTATTAAAGGTGTTTGTAAAACACGGTGGCTGAAGAGCATGGGAACAGCCTCCACTTTCTTAATGAGTGTCCCCACCTTGTGCTGGGGTGGGGGGCCACCCTCTTTGTCACTTGCCAGCTGTTGCCCTTGGGGAAGTGCCAACAGAGACGGGTTGGAGTCCAGCCCCTCTGCCCTGCCCAGGCCTCAGGGACGGACACTGGGAAATGAAAGCACTTTCACCTGGACACTTTGACAGTGGTGAGGGTCAGAAGGCCCAAGTCATCTAAAGAAAAAAAAAATGTTTGAAAACGAGGGGGAAGGGGTCTGCTCGTGCTGTTGGGGAGCCCATGGCTGAGGGCCTGGCTGCAACCAGGGGCTTGAAGGAGCCATTGGGCCACCATCTCTGCTTCGCCCTCTGTTATGCCACGGGTCTCTCCTGCTGCTGACAGACTCTCCCGGTGGCCAGACCTGTGGTCCTGGCGGGCAGGGACTCCCTCCAGCTCATCACCCCTGCCAGTCCCAGCAGAAATCCTTGGAGAAAGCTGGGCATGGTGGTGCACACCTGTGATCCCACTGACTCTGGAGGCTAAGGCAGGAGGATGAGAGCAAATTCAAGGCCAGCCTCAGCAATTTAGTGAGACCATATTTTAAAATAAAAATTAAAAAGGACCAGGGGTGTTCCTCATTGGTAGAGTGCCCCTGAGTTCAATAATCCCCAGTACCACTGGGGGTGGGAGTGGGGGACAGAAGTCCCAGAGTCTGGTTTCTGGCCAGGTCTGCCCTCAACCACTCACTGTGCCAGGAGGGAAGAATTATGTCTGTCTGGCTTGGGCCACCTGGTGGGAGGAGGGCCCAGTGGGGCCAGTCCTGGGCGTCCGCTGAGCCTTTCTGCGCTCAGGTAAATTAGTGGACACAGACAGATACCTGGGGAAGAGCCTGGAGCAGCTTCCCTGCGGCCTCCTAATCCCCCAGCTCCAAGCCTGGGCCCACCAGCGGCTCCCCTGGTGTGTGGGTTTGTGTATAAGACCTTCTTTTCAGGCATCCATGGAATTTGAAGGACGTGCACACAGATCCAGAGGTGGAGGCTCCTGGGTTAGGCAGAGTGCGAAGGTGGTCTGAGGCCCTGACTAAGCTCCTCCCTTGTGAGGGTTGGGGGGACCTGTGACTCGCCTCTAGCCAATGGGGCATGCTAAATGTGATGTCACTCCCCCAATCGGCTTAGGCTCTTCCTAGGGCCCTGAAGAGTGCTTCCCTGTCGTGCTGCCCACAGACAGGACCACGTGGAGGCTGCAGGCCAGCTTCAGGACCCAAGGGTGGCTCCAGCCCACGGCCGCCAGGAGAGGACAAATTTCTTCCTAAAGGCCAGGGTGAGAGCGCAGCCCACCGACAGCTCTGCCCCAGCTGGAGACCCAGCTAGGCGGGTCCAGACCCCCACCCCAGGAGCAGAGAGATGGCAGATGTGTGTTGTTTTAAGCCACTTCATTTCAGCTGAGAAAACTAGGGCAGCCCCATTTTTCCTGGTGGAAGTCACTGCAGGAGCCCCCAGACTGTCTCCGAGGCTCAGCTTTGCGCCTGCTGGCCAGATGCGCATGCGTGGTGGGAGGATGGCCCCAGACTGCACGGGAATGGCACATTCCCCTCCTTAAGTCCCAGCAAGGCCTCCTCTTGGTCTCCAACGGCCAGTTGTCACCTGAGGACTGTTGGGGTCATTCCCGTCATGCTCCAGGCCTCCTGATCACCCATTCTTGTCCACGTCTCTTCTCCCCAAGGCCTCCCCCACGAACACCCCCTCAGCCTTTCTTTCCCTCTCCCCTTCAATGCTCAGCTCAAGCCTGCCTGGGAGGCGGGGTCTGACCCCAGGGCTCCTCTTTGCCTCGGGTGCCCCCTGCTCCTTGCAGCTCCTTTGGCCTGGATCCCACCTGCACTCTGGGTGGTGCATTGAGAGGGCAGCAAGGGTGCAGGACAAGCTCAGGGCTGGCCCTCAGCAAGGGCCTGTTGAAATGAATTAATGAGGACCACGTCTACTTTCTGGATGGGGTAGGGTCATTTTGCCTTCCGTACCCCTGAAGGAGGAGTGGGAACCCCCATGAACGGGACCATTTGGGGACAAATGCTCTCAAAGCCCACTCCCAGTCGACCTGAGGGCACCATGCATCCACCTGGCACTTGGATGCAGAGGCTGGGGAAGCCCACCCAGGCTGTTTGAGCTGCTCCTCGGCCACCTCTTTCCCACCACATAGCACACATCCTCTCATCCCAGGAGGGGAAGTGGAGGCTGGCCAGAGAGGAGCCTGTCTCTGCAGGTCACCCACTCCCCATCTCCCCCCGCCGCCTGCTGTGGTCTACTAGGGCAGTTGACCTGGGTGTGCCCTCTGCAGGGGAAGTCCAGCCCTTCCAGTGGCCAGGGAGGGACTTTCTCAGAGCAAGAGCAAAACAAAGCCCTCAGGGAGCCCCTGTGTGACACAGAGCTCCCAGCACCGGCTTCCCACCTGTCCCCTCCCAGAGGAACCTGCCAGCCAACAGCCCTCCCTTCCCGACTCCCGTGCTCTGTGAACTGGAGCCAGGAAACCAGAGGGATGGGAATTGAATGGTCTCCAACCCCTGCTCCCAAACAACTGAGCCGGAAAGTCTGACCACGCATCTAGAAGGCAGTTCTCATCATAGGACGGTTTGCTCTCAAGGGACATCCTGGGACCACCCCAGCTGAAGTGGCTGCCAGCCTCGGGTGGGAAATGGGTGCTATCTCATTCACCAGGGATCCTGAGGTGCCTCCACCTGCCCCAGAGGGTAGAGCACTTGCCTAGCTTATGCAAGGGTTCAATCCCCAGCACTCAAAAAAAAAAAAAAATTCAGTGAAGCAGAGGCAAAGTGTGTGTGTGTCCCAATGTGTGGCACACCCTGTGGGACAGACAGTGGTCAACACGGTAGCTCTGTGCTTATCTTCATCAGTGCGTCTTAATAAGCTCCTATTTCCCAGTGCTAAGAATGGTGTTTTGGGAGTCTGTGGCACGAATTTAGAGCATGTTATTAATCAAGTCCCAAATGTATAAGGGACCAACTTCACTGGCAAATTCTTCCTTTATACATCTTTTTTGAGCAAAAAATGTCTGTCTGCACAGGGTCCTGGCCCACCTGGTGCTCTCGTGTTGTGGTGCAGTTAGCTGGGGCTCCACCGACGGGCCCTCACTCAGGTGTCTGTGGGAACAGCCCAGCAGCCCTGGTGCCCTGCCACATCTGTGCAAGCACCAGAGTGTCCTCAGATCTGGGGTCAGGCCTGGGATCAACAAAACTGGGGTCAGGGGTTCCAGCCTGGAGCAGAGCCAGGCTGACCACTGGCCCCCATGTCGGCAGTCCTAACAGCCCTGGCCACTCGGAACACCCTGTGCATCCCTGAGGGTCAGCCTCACACGGAGCAGCCGGTGAGCCACGGTTGAGGCTGTTTCTACCAGGTGACCTCTGTGAGGCAGGAGCAGCCCAATCATGCCTTGAGCAGCTGCCCACTGTCCCCAGATCTCCCTCCAGCCCAGCTTGTCCTCCCCACTCCCTGTGCCCAGGACTGCTGCCACTCCTCTAAGACTCACCCCCTGCTGCCTTTTTGGGTGTCTGGCTGGATGCATGGGGTGCACATCCTTCCAGCCCCCGACTTCCACGTGCTGATCCCAGAGACCTGGACGTGGTGAAGACAAATGTCAGCAGTCAGGTATGTGCAGCTCCAAAGCTCTTCCTGTCACCCTACGCAGCCATGGAGAGTGCCCATGGAATTGGGCTTTTAGGGCCATGCCTGCTTCTGTAGGTTATCCCAGAAGACCCAGGCTGAGCTCAGGAGGCCTGGCCCCCACTGCCAGCAGGATGACGGGCCTACCCAGCCTCTCCGCCTCTTCCTCTGCTTACCTGTGGAGATAACGGCCTCTTCCTGGGTAATCATGAGGAGATAACAGAGAGAAGTGCTTGTGAATATGTGTGCAGGGACTATCATCCTGGCCCACATGTGCCGGGCTCTGAGCTCTGACAGCCCAGACCTGGGGGTCAGGCCTGGGGTCAGGCCTGGGGATCAGGCCTGGTATCAACAACCCTGGGGTCAGAGGTTCATTTGGGAGCAGAGCCAGGCTGACCCCCGGGACCCCACAGTCAAAGACCCCTGCCTTTGGAGAGTGTCCCAGCCCCTGTGGCCATGCCACCCCATAGCCTCCTTGGGTTCCCAGGCCTCTTTTGGAGCCCAGCTGGTGGGACCTGCAAATGCCAGCAGGGCCAGAGGCCTCAGGCAGAGCCTGGTGTAAAAAGCCCTTGGGAAAAAAAAAATAAATAAATAAAAAGCCCTTGGAGCAAACAGGCTCCAGAGCCACCTGGTCCCGGTGGGAGGCAGCCTGGGAGGCCAGTGGAGTGGTCTTTCCTAAGGGCCTCACTTGGGGTAAGGCCCGGCAGGAGCTCCCTGCGCTTCCCAACACCTGTGGGGCCTGTGCCGCTGCTGAATATGGCCAAGAAAGATGCAGTGCTCGTCCTGAAGACGGAACACAGGGCTCCTGCCCCTGGCCCTGGGTCAGGCCAGCCTTGGGGCTGCCAGCCTAGTGCGTGCAGGGGCGTGCTCTTCGAATGACTCCCTGGCAGGCTCCGCACACTGACTGAGCTTACTTTTACCCCAGGATAGAGATCCGGAGTCAGCCTGGGACTTGGGAGCATGGCATTGATGATCACATGGGCAACTCCAGTGTGGAGGGCCTTCGAGGTCCGCTAGAGCAAGCTGCCAGGTTAGTACACCATCCCTTGATGTCCTCGGGCACTGGCTGGGAACACAGAGTACCAAGATCCTCGACGCTGGAGCCCCTTCCGTTACGTGGCATGGTACTTGTGTGGAACCTATGCTCATCCCCCGTGGACTTTAAATCATCCCTAGGTTACTTAGAACACCTAACACAACATAAGCTAATTGTTATACTGCATTGTTTAGGGAATGATGATGGTGGGGGCCAGGGGGAGTCAGCATGTTCAGCACAGATGAAAAAATTTTTACCAAATATTTTTGACCAGCCCTTGGTGGAATGCAGCAGCAGATCCAGGGGCACAGAGGTATGAGTAATGCAGTCTGTCAGCACCATGCACCTCAGCAAGAACCACCCAGTGCCCAGGACTGAGTGCCACCCAAAACCCCAAGATCTCGGACTGGCCCCCAGGCCTCAGCAACCAGCTAGGCCAAGGTGGGGATCTCCTCTGTGTCCCTATGGGTTTCTGCCCAGCCCGGCTCAAGTACACCTCACACTGGAGAACTCATTGCCAGGGGGTAAGACATCCACCTATCACAATCCTAGTCCTATTCACTGTTCCTACAGGGAGGTCTGAGAGCAGACTGCAGAATGATTCTTTGAAGAGAGACCACCCCCTCCCTAGCCAAGGGGTCACTGTGGTGGAAACAGCCCCAGGCCCTGACAGCTATGGGGCCCAGTGAAGCAGAGTTAACTGATGGGGGGGGGCCTTGAAGAGGGGGAGGATCTGGGGCACAACACACATGGAGGGAGCTCCCCTGAGGATAGAAGGTCCGGGCTTTTTAGGACAGGACTATCCCTGCTAAGCCATCCAATATACTCCTCCTTCATCCTGACCTTCAGTCTCCTTGTCCACACATTTGACCCTGAAGGGATTAGGCCACTTCCCAGATGAGACCCAGAAATGAGGAGGAAAATCAGCCTGAACAGGTGCTCAGAGCCACGGTGACAAGGAGAGAAATCCCTGTGGATACTGGTGGAGGCATTTCCAAGTGGACATGGGCTGTGCCCTGTGGTGGTGATTTTGCTGAACTCTTAAAGAACAGGAGGCCTCAGTAGACTGGGACTGGGGGACAGTCAGGGACAGGCCCATGCTAGAAAAAGCTGCTGGTTGGGCAAATCAGGCAGCTGGCTTCCCTGAGAGTTGGGGTATCTGCCCTGGCTGGTGCAGTCCACCCGTTTCTTGGAAATCCAAGCTCCTTAACACAGCTCGATACGGAGTCTTCCCGCCCCTGGCCCTAGTCTTTCCCTCCAGCCTCCAGCATCCTTCTTCCTATTCTTGGATCTGGTCACTTACAGGCCCCCCAAATCTCCACACCTGCCCCTCTGGCCCAGTATAGCATGTACGTTCTGCTCTTTTACACAAAACGTGGACACACACACACACACACATGCACACACATGCGCGCGCGCTACCTGAAGAGCTTACTCTTGAGTCATCTCTTACAGGGCATTATTTGGAAAAAATCCTTGCATGTTAGATTGATTTTATATTTTATTGAGAAGCTGCAAAAATAGAGTCCCATGTACCCTTCACCCAGGTTCCCCGCAGTTAGCATCTTTCATAATCATGCACATTTGTCAAACTAAGTAGTGAACATTGTACAAGACTACCAACCAAGCCACAGGCTTTACCCAGCCTCCACCAGCATCCCACCAGTGCACTTTCCATTTCCAGGGTCAGCCCAGGACCTGTTATGTGTCCACCCATAGGGCCTCCTCTCACCCAAGAGGCTTCCTCGGTCCCTCCTAGTTTTCCATGACCATGACCTCAACCCCTTGGAAAGGTCCTGCTGAGGCATTTTGTAGAGTGTCCTCAGCATGGATTTTTCTGATGTTCTCTCATGATCAGACTGCAATTCTGCCTTTTTGGTAAGAGTAACAGGAAGGTGAGGGGCTTCTGTCTCCCCAGATCAGAGCCTGTACAATGTCTGCACAGGTTATCACTGCTGAGTCAGTTTACCCCGTCCCTTGGGTAAAATGATGTCTGCAAGCTTTCTCCACCACCGATTTCTCCCCTCCACTCTGTGGCTCTAAGCGCGCGCTCAGGGGCAGAGGAGGTCAGCTCCACTCCCTGGAAGGGCCATCTCTCAATGTCATTGAAATTCTGCAGCCCAAACATGTTCCTTACGCTCCATTTGCTTATTTGCCTGCATTTTCTTGATCTCCTCTTCAAGACCTTCACTGACCTCCCCCTCTGAGTGGCTTTGTTAGCTCATTGGAAGGGGACTGTTTCCAGGACCCCAAGGATACCCAAACCCAGAGTACCACAAGTGCCTATATAAAATGGAGCATTTGCATATAATCTACATATATCTTCTCTCACACTTTATATCATCTCTAGATAGCCCACCATGCCTAATGTGATGTAAATGCTGTGTCAATAGTTACTGTACGGCATTGTTTGGGGAATACCGACAACGTTGCAGACCTAATTTTCTGTGTGCATTTTCAGTCAGTAGTGGTTGCAGAACCCAGGGCTGTGGAGGGCTGACTCCTCTCTGATCTCTCCTGGTGCTCCTTAGTTTGCTGGTGAGCTTCCCTATCACAGGGCAGCTTCTTTTTAGACACTTTTGGAGTAGTTATCAGGCTCCTTGGCCAAGTATTTATATAAGCACCATCTCCTTAATCCCCACGACACTCCTGTAAATAGACAGTTTACCATCCCCACTTAACAGATGAGGAAACCTCAGGGCAGTTATGCAACTGCCCAAGATCTATCTCTTCCCTGTGCCTGGGCTGGTGGTGGCATCACGCCGAGCTTTAGCAGGAACTTGCTTGCTAAAGAGCAGCCTGCACGTGGATGCCCAGGACAAGGCAAACCAGCCAGCCCCAGGCCACTGCTGCCCTTAACTGCTGGGGGGTCAAGCATGCAGTCAGTGGGTGCTCCTTCCTTCTTGGACAAGTCTCCATGATGTTGCCACTGGAAAGCCATCATCCTCGCAGGGGGGCCAGGGCTCCAGCTCTTCAAGTTCCTGCAGGGCAGTGGGGAAGCATGGCAGGGAGGGTGGGAAAGGCAATGCCAACAACTCGCAGACCGTGAGCGCAGAGCCATCGACCTGGACCTCCCCACCCTTCCCCACCTCTCTCAGCTCCCCAGGCTGCTGGTGGGTGGCCCACAGTGACCCACCTGATGGAAGGTGTCCAGGCAGGAGGTCCAGACCAGTCATGGCAGGAAGCCTTTTCTAAGCTCATGCTGGCTAAAAGGTCGCCAGTGTCTTGGTGAGGAGCCAGCCCAGTCTGCACCAGGCCTGGTCTGAACTTGATCTCTACACGCTTTGGAGTCAGAGTTCCCAGAGTGAGACACAGACAGACAGTGGGAAATGGTCATGGTTATGAATTGAGCAATAGAAGAGATCCCCACATAGGGACACCTGTGAGGAGCACATCCAGTGACCAGGAGTCCCCCGGTCCTAGGGAAGTCCCTGGCGGGAGGAACAGCCTGCCTGGGGAAGCTCTGATCTGGGGACTGGCCTGCCTGGGGCCTGAAATTTCCTTCAAACGGTTAAAATCATTTTTGCGCTGGGTCAGGAGGATGGCCAGCTTAAGGTCTTCCCTTCCCAAGACTGTGGCACTTGGAGATAGTCCCCCCAAATGTCTGTCAGCTGGAGTGGAGACCTGGCACACCTCAGGTATCTGGACAGACTCCTGCTCATCCCCCTGCAGGGAACACGAAGTGACCCAGTGGATGCTCTTCACTGCCATTCTGCCAAAGCCTCCCGCTCCCGGCTGGCCCTGCTGCCCTTTCTGGCTGGGTGCCAGACCACACTGGGTCACTGGGGAAGCTGGGCTGGCAGCACACCTAGTGGCAAGCGGTTGGCCTGGCAGATGGGCCAGGCAGCCACGGGACAGTATTCCCCTCCCAGGCCAGCGGGGGACTCGCTGCTGCTCAAGGTCATGCTGGCCTCTCAAGGCCCTCATACAGGGCTGTTCTCTGAACAGCAGCCCTGGGGCATTTGGTCCCAGAGGTGGCAGGCTGACACCGGACTGTGGGCAAGGGCTGAGTAGAGAGGAGTCTGGAGGCAGGTCTGGCCATTTCTCTGCTCCTGCTCCTGGGCGATTGGGAGGAGCTGCTCCAGTCTCCATTTCTTTCTAAACAAAATGAGAGGCTTGGGCAGAGCAGTATCCTCATGGCATGATCCCTCAACCATGGGCAGCAACAATTCTGAGGATGTGTTGGAAGTACAGATCCTCAGACCCTATCAGAGATCTCAGCCAGAGCTCAGGGGTGGGCATGGCAGCCTACTTCACCACATCTTCCAGGCTCAAGTTTAAGGACCAGGGGCCAAGTCGATGCCACAGGTCTCTTCCTAGACACATGTCAATGTATTGGGCTGCCAGTGCATAGGAAGGTCTTACGCTAAGAGATGGAGAATGCCAATGTGGAGGAGGTCCATCATTAGTAGTGAAAGGCCACCTCCATCCCCTAGATAGTTACCTCCTTACCACCTAATATCAGCTCAAGTGACTGTCCCAGACCCGCCCTCCCTACAGTTCCTCAGGCAGGAATAATGAGATCCCCTCTGCTGCCCACTGCACCAGGGCCACATGGTATCCTGGGTAGGTAACAAATCTTGCTTGTGGGTCAGTCTCTCCCTCTAATGGTGGGGAGCTCAAGGACAGAGGGCAGGTCTTATTCCTCCATGGTGTCCACAGCCCTGAGCATCTGGGTTCCGTAGGCTATGCTTGCCCAGGCTCTGCGAGGTCCCTGCCAATTCCCTGGACCCTCAGAGAAGCTTCCAAGGTCCAACAACATCCCCAGCACATTCTGGGGCTTTCCTTTGATAAAAGCTACAGGTTAGGACTGTGCTGCCCCTCACCCCCGATCACCTGACCCATAGGCACAACCTGGTTCTTCCTCTCAGAAGAATTGAAGACAAACACACGGAGAGGGTGCTCCAGCCTGGCGACACACAAAGATGGCTCAGCACAGGAGCACGGGGAAGCCAGAGGCACGGAGCAAGCCTGTGGGGCGGGACAGGGCATGTCACTCAGCTCAGCTCCTGTAGGACCAAAGCAGCACTCCTGAGGGCAGCAAGCAAATGTCCCCTTTGTGTCTGGGGGGAGGTGCCAAAGCTCCCTGGCCCAGGCCCACCTTCCAGGGTTCAGCAGGTGCTCTCGGCAGCCCACTTTCAAGGAGACGGTGGGAGAGTGATTCTCTGGACTTGAGCCTGGACGTGGATTCTGGGCCCGCCACTCACCAGCCAGTGCAGATGGTGAGCTGCCTCACTTCTCCACTCTCCCGTTACTTCGTACGTAAAGTGGGTTGAGCCTGCAATCTCAGCTACTCAGAAGGCTGGAACTGCTTGGTCCCTTGGCTTCACCCCTGCTCTGGCCAAAAACTACAGAATTGCTGCTGAGACCAGGATCTGTGACCTGAAGAGGGAATCTTGGGTGACTCCGGGGTTGAGGGCCGGGAGGAGGAGCTGGTCCCTGTGAGTCCTCCCCTCTTAAAAGTTGACAGAGCCAAGGTGACCTGGAAATCAGCTCTTCCAAATTCACTGCAGAAAGGAGACCAGTCCTTGGCAGAACAGCGGATTATCAGATTTGGGAGGGGCCTACAGACCCATTGACTCCAAGGGTCCCATTGACCCCAAGATTTCAGAACACATGTGGGGGGGCTGCCATTAGGTGGCCAACATTTTCTTTTCACAAGTGAAGGCATTATAGGCCATCTGGGATCACCACCTTGCCATAAAAGATAGGACATTTTAGCAAGAAAAAGTTAGGAGGATATAATATCAAAATAAATGATGAGATTCTTAAATTGTACTTAACTGTACGTCCTAGTCCATTTTGTGCTGCTATAACAGAATACCACAGGTGGGTGATTCATGACCAACCCACTAACATTTCAACAGTATTAAATAGTTCAGTTTTACTAGGTACAGTGGTGCAGCGACCCCAGCAATTTGGAAGGCTAGGTAGAGGATAGGAAGCTTGAGGTTGGCCTGGGCAACTCAGTGAGACCCTGTCTCAAAATAAACACAAAGAGTTGGGGTTATCCTCAGTGGTAGAGTGCCCCAGGGAGACCAGACCTGTATACACCAGCCTGGCAGAACCATCCCTAGTGGATGCGCACACACACACACACACACACAATTTTAAGGACAGAATTTTGTTGGCACCTGGTTCCGAATGTTGGTAAGTTCAAGACTGAAAGGCTGGCAAAAGCCTTCTTGCTGTGGCAAAAAGAGGGCAAAAGAGACAGTAAGAGGGGGTCCAATCTACCCTTTCATAAGGCACTCACTGTATAAATCCACCGACAAGGGCAGCGTCTTTGTGGTCTAGCCACTTCTTAAAGGTCCCACTTCTAACACCACCACATTGGAGATCAAATTTTCAACACCTGAAGGTTTTTTGTTTGTTTTTTAAATTGTTGTTATTGGTCCTGGGGATTGAACTCAGGAGTGCTTTGCCACTAAGCTACATCCTTGCCCCCCCCCCTTTTTTTAAGTTTTAATTTTGAGACAAGGTCTTACTAAATTGCTGAGGCTGGCTTTGAACTTGAAATCCTTCTGCTTCTGTCTCCCAAGTGGCTAGGATTACAGATGTGCATCCAATGCATAAACTTTGAGGGACACATTAAAACCCTAGCGTGGTTTTAAAAAATGAAAAAGTTTTCAGGAATCTGAGGCAGGAGGATTGCAAGTTCAAGGACAGCCTAAGCAACTTAGGGAGGCCCTAAGCAACTTGGTGAGACCCTATCTCAATGTGAAAAAATAACAAAAGAGATCTGGGATGTGGCTCAGTGGTTAAGCACCCCTGGGCTCACTCTCCAACACCAAAAGAAAAAAAAAACCAGAGTATGAAATAACAAAAAAAATATATTTTATTTTTTTTCTCATCCATAACAAAAATATGAAAACTTACTTGATTATAGGTCAAGGCAGAACTAATGCAACTCCAGTTTTTCAGGTCAAAAAACAGACTGAAGGGGAGGAAGGGATCTGCCCAAAGTGACCCAGCACTTTAATGCCAGGACCCACAGTGAGAGTCCAATTTTTGGTCCAGGATCATCCTAACATGCTTGCTGAGTTCTCTGCGTGGGCAACCAAACCTGCTGCTTCTCCTGACTCTCAGTGGGTCAGTCTGAATCCTTTCCCAACTCACCCAGTCCCAACCTCACCAGTGTTTCTTCCCACAGCAGACGGTCACCAAGATGGAACACACTTGAGCACCCAAGCCCAGACCTTCCTGCCTCTCTGACCACCTTCTCTTCCTTACCTCTTGACCCAGGCAAGTCCTTCCTCTGCCTGAGCGGGCTCCCTGCGGTGTGCCCCTCCTTTCTGCCCCATTTCTTCAACCTCATCTCCAACCAGCCCCGTCCTGCCTCTTGCAGCATTTCTGTTTCTGCATAGACTCCCTCCATTCAGCACGCACGCACGCACACTCATGTTTCTACACTAGGTTAAAATACTCTCCGAAGTTCACTGAAGATCAAGATAGCTTTTTAATATGTGAAAAAGTCTCAGGTAAAGTCCATGAAAAAAATACAAAGTGATTACCATGAGCTCTCACATTTTTCACTTAGCTTAATAAAAGACAGAAATGCCAAGAAGAACCAGCGTTAATAAAGAAATGGGGACCTACAGTTCACTGTTGGTGGGGTAAATGATCACAACAACATCTTGAAGAACAACTTGACAATGTTTTTGCAAATTAAAAAAACCATATCCATACATCAGAATTTTTATAGCAACTTTATTCAGCCCCAGCTTGAAAACAATCATGATGTCCATCAACAGAAGAATGGATCAATACATTATGATATGTTCTATAGCTGGAAGGCTAAACAAACCCCAAAAGCACACTGAATAAAAGCCAGACCCCAAACCACATCATATTGTAGATTTTCTTTTTAAAAGTCTCAATGCATATAAAACCAGCTGGACGTGGTGGCATATACCCAGCTACTTGGGAGCCTGAGGCAGAAGGATAGAAAGTTGGAGGCCAGTCTGGGCCATTTAGCAAAACTCTGTCTCAAAGAATAAAAAAAGAAAAAGGAGGGGTGGGGGATGTAGTCCAGTGGTAAACCACTCTCCCTAGCATGTGTGAGGCCCTGGGTCTGATCTCCAGTGCCCCCTCCAAATTAAGAAATGCACAGAGTAGTTAAGCCAGCAATTCCCACTCTAGGAAGTGGTCCTGTAGTTTTCCTTGCATGTAAGCAAACTATGGATGGGCTTGCTGCTCTGGGCAAACTGGAAACAACCTAGATGTCTTGTTATTTAGCCAGAAATGTTAAATCAATTTTAACATATCCATACGATGGAATATTGTCTAACCATTTACAAAGAATGAGGTTGATATTTATGAGCAGATATGCAATAATCTTCAAGACAGTGTGAAGTCAACAAGCAAGGCTCAGAAAGTATGCAGCACACTATTCTCTGTGCAAGAGTGTGAGTGCATACACATGGACTCTGCAAGCACACGAGAGTGGTGGCATTCCAGCCTGTGGGACTGTGTTGTGTTCTCTTCACAGGCATTACACACTGGCCAGGTCCAGTCCCTCTGCTGGACCACACCCTCCCCAGAGGCCTGTGGTGATGACAGGAATGTTTCCTTAGTCAAAGACTTGCAACTGTCTTGAGCTTAGAAACACGTCAATAGCTCTCTGACCACAGGCGGGGCCACAGTTGGGTCTGGCAGCAGCCACAGCTTTCCTGGCTGTCCAGAAGATAGGCTAGACGTGGGAAGAATTGGGATTTATGCCCAAAGAGCCCTTAGCCAACTCTCTTCCCAAGTTCCCAGGTAACCCAGGGAGTAAAGACAGGGTCTGGGGTGTGAGCTGCCGGAACTCCAGGTGCTGAAAAAGCCGCTGCCTCCATGCAGCAGGAATGGGTGTGGGCAGGTCACAGGACTTGGCCACGGTCATAATGATCTGGATTCAGGTCAACTTCAGCCCATGAACTCAGCCTTCCACTGAGCTATCCTGCTGCTTGGGGGAGTCGGAAAGCACTTCATCCAAAGTCACGCTGCAATCTTACAGTCAAAGTGGACTAGTGTTGGCATGTTCTGCAGAATAAAAGACAGTGACTTGATGGGACATGGGGGCACATGGTTCTAATGGGAAAGTGGGGGGCAAGAAGGCAGAGGAAAAGCAAGTGAGGAACTGGCTGGAAATGATGCAGGAAGTGCTGACAGGAGCCTGGTCAGGAAGAGTCAAGGAATCCTGGCTAAGAAGTACCAGTTTAGTCCCCCTGGGGTTTTGACTATGGTTTGGGTACCTGTCCACTTCTGCAAGATCCTTCTAGCAGGAAGGTGAGGAGCAGACTACAGGTGGTCAGGATGGAGGTAGGGAGACCTGTAGGGAGGCAATAGCAACCATTCAGGTGAACCCAGATGGTGGTCTGGATGAGGGCAGGAGTGGGTGATGACAATGTTTGAGAATATTTAGGAGGGTTTGACATAACTGGTGAAAGTAAACAAGAGCAAGAAAGGGAGGAGTCAAAGGTGATGCTCTGATCTCTAGATCAAGGAACAGGACATCAGGAGTGTCCTGCATGGAGGTGAGGAATTCAGATTTGGGCAGAATATGAGTTCAGTTCCAAGGTTGCTGAATGAGAGGTGTCTGTAGGATGTCCAAGTGGGGAGGCCAGTAGGCGTTCACCTTCCTTCACTCAACAGCTGCCATGTGGCTACATGGACAAACTAGACCAGCCCCCTACCAGGGAGTTCCTGCTAGTGGGGGAATAGCAAATACCTGATGAATGGGAAAAGTGCCTTGGAGGAAGTAAAAAGAGCAGAGAGAGGGAGTAGCTGGAGGTCAGCTCTAGACCACAGGTACTCTGGAAGAGGCTTCTCTGCAGAGAGGACAGGAAAGATGGGAGGCTACGCCCAGGAGAAAAGCATTCAAGGGAACAGCAAGTACCAGGCCTGGGAGACAGCAAAAGGGCCAGTGTGACAAATGACCAAGAGGGGGCATTGACTCTTGTCCTAGTTTGTTTTCTATTGTTATAACTAAATACCTGAGAGCAAGTCACTTACATGGAGGTTTTTTTGGTTCACAGTTCTAGAGGCTGGAAAGCCCAAGAGGATGGTATCAAACTCTGTTCCGCTTCTAGCAAGGACTTTCCTGCTGCATCATAACATGGCAGAAAGTACGGTGAGCTAGCTGGGGTCTCTCTTCTTTTTCTTGTAAAGTTACTCATGCTATCATGATTTTATTTAACCCTAATTACTTCCCAAAGGTTCCACTTCGAAATAGCATTAATATATGACTTTGGGAATTGAATTTACAACACAAGAATTCTCAGGTCAAACATTCAAACCATAGCAATCCTATGGCCTGGTTTGGGAATGTAAAAGCAAATGAGGTTGGGATGGAAGAACTGTATTCCTGAAGCTCACAAACTGCAGTAAGGACTGTGGATATTGCTCCAAGCAGCCCACAGAAAAGCTTAAAGATCCCTGAGAATGATGGGTGGGAAAATGATAGTTCTGATAGGTATGGACACATTAAGAGCCAGTTAGAAATCTAATGCAGACAAGCAGGCAAAACAGAATAATCAAGTCTGGCTGGGCATGGTAACGCCCGCCTATAATCCCAGTGGCTTGGGAGGCTGAGACAGGAGGATCATGAGTTCAAAGCCGGCCTCGGCAATGTTGAGGCACTTAGCAACTCAGTGATACCCTGTTTCTATACAAAATAGGGCTGGGGATGTGGCTCAGTGGTTGAGTGACCCTGAGTTCAATCCCCAGTACCAAAAAAAAAAAGTAGAATAATCAAATATGTGTCCAAGACTTAAGACTTCATGTGCAGATAGATC